TGGATTCTGTTTTGGGACTTTAAAATAACTGGGCAAAATCGTTATTCGCGTTCGCGATAAGCTTAACGGGTTCGCGATGAGTCAGGTCTGAAGACCTTCGCGTTCCCGACACTGGGCTCGTGATGCTTTAGCACCTCGAGCCCTTGCGTTCGCGGGCCAGTGGCTGCGTTCGCGTAGAACAAACTGGTGGCCCCTCCCCCTGAACCCTACGCGTTTGCGAAGGGTCTCCCCCCTAAGCTTCGCGTTCGCGTATCAACCTCCGCGTTCGCGAAGAAGAAACTGGGCACCTGGGATTTTTGCCTTATGCGTTTACGAGTGAAACCACGCGAACGCGAAGAACAAAATCCCTGGGCACAATAGCATAAAATCTGTAACACTTCTAAAGACAAAAACCATTCCGAAACGCTCCCGAGCCCTCGGGGCTCCTAACCAAACACAGACACTAACTCAACAACATCATATGAACTTATCTGTGCGATCAAATCGCCTAAATAACCTCAAAATCAATGAATCAAACCTCAAAATCAAGAATTTTCCTCAAACTTCATCATGTTTCCAATTTAGAAATTTGAGTCCGAAACACGTCAAACAACGTCCAATTTCAACCAAATTTTACAGGAAGAATTTAAAACATATATAAGACCTGTACCGGGCCCCGGAACCAAAATACTGGCCCGATACCATTGCTTTCTAATCAGATTTCATTTTCAATTTCCTTAAACATTTTCAGAAAATAATTTTACTTAAAAATTCATTTCTCTGGCTTGGGACCTCGGAATTTGATTCTGGACATATGCCCACGTCCTATATTTTCCTATGGACCCTCCGGGACTATCAAATCACGGATCCGGGTCCGTTTACCCAAAATATTGACCAAAGTCAAACTTATTCATTTTAACATCAAAACTTAGCATTTTTCACAAAATTTCATATTTAAGCTTTCCGGCTATACGCCCGGAATGTGCACGCAAATCGAGGTGATTTTAAATGAGATTTTTAAGGCCTCGGAAGTACAGAATGGATAAAAACACAGGTGATGACCCAATAGAGAAGGTAAGGTGATAATTCAAATAGAGGAAGAAGATGTAAACGAGCTAAAGGAATACTGGGATAATGCTTTAATTGGGTATGTATTGGGGGATGCACCGTATGAAAAATCTATGGTAAGCTATATAGAAACAGTTTGGGATTTTGTTGATAAACCTCAAATGCTATATCATCATAATGGCTATTATGTCTTTCGATTTACAAATGTGAAGGATAAGGAAGCAGTTATTCAAGCAGGACCATACACTTATCACAATAAGCCACTGATACTATAAAATTAGGAGAGAGATTTTCATTTTGACCCTAAGTGTATCACTACTATTCTACTTTGGATTCAACTTCCTAGCTTATCAGTTGGGTATTGGACTGTAGATGCACTGAGTAAAGTGGCAAGTGTTGTAGGGATGCCAATGTATATAGACAAATACATAGTTGAACTAAGGAAAATCTCTTATGCAAGAGTCCTAGTGAAAGTTGATATAACAAAATCATTGGTGGATACTATTGAAATTATAACTCCTACGAGTGTAAAACAACAGGAAATTGTATATGAATGGAAGCCAAAGTTTTGTACTGAATGTTTACATTTTGGGCATGGTGTCTTTGAATTCTAGAAGTTAAGTAATAAGGAGGAGAATGAAGAATTCCAAGTACCTAAGATAAGAAATAGAGGCAGAAGAAGAAGAATCATACAGGAATGGAAACCAAAAGAACAACAGGAAAAGAAAGAGAAGAATGAAGGAATGAATGAATTGCAGCCTCCTATAGAAGATGACAAGGAGACACATGAAGGTTGTGCAGTTCAAAGAGGAAAGATGATACAAAATGAATTAGACAATGAAGAACAGAACACCTCACCAGATAAGCAGGGCAGAAGTGCAAAAGTAAGCAATGCAAATAGATTCAAAGTGCTAGGTGAATTGGGACAAACAACTATACAGGGAGGGGTTCTGGTTCCTGATCCTATACAACACCCGCCATGATCATTAGTACATGGAACATAAGGGGGCTAAATAAGCCCTATAAGCAAAAAAAATTAAAAATCTATTTGCAAAAGAATAAGGTAGATGTATTAGGATGTCTTGAAACTAGAGTAAAAGAAAAGAAGTCAAAAACAATATTGTATAGAGTAGCAAGAGACTGGGGTTATTGCTGCAATTATGCTAAAGCTGAGAATGGTAGAATCTGGTTGGTGTGGAAGACAAATCTATCAGTCAATGTAGTTCAGGTTCATGAACAATGCATTCATTGTGTAGTGAGTGATACAGTGACTGGTTACCAGATTATGCTGGCAGTTGTGTATGCTAGAAACAAGCTACAGGAGAGAACAAATTTATGGTGTCAATTGCAAATGATGGGAAATCAAATTCAACTCCCATGGCTCATAAGTAGTGACTTCAATAATGTCCTAAACACTGAGGATAGGTTGGGACAACCAGTTACTATGAATGAGATGAAAGATTTCAAGGATTGTATTGATTCCATACAATTGACCCCTTTGAAGACAAAAGGTTGTTTCTATACTTGGTGCAATAAACAGCATGCAGATGATAGAGTATACAGTAGAATTGATTGGGCCTTTGGCAACTTTGAATGGATCAAAGAATATGGACATGTGGAAGCTGTTTGTCTGGAACCTGGGGTATCAGATCACTCTCCTATAATGATCCAAATATAGAGAAGAAAGAATATATATCCTAAACCATTCAATATGTATGTGGTAACATTGGAGCACAAGGAGTTTAAACCTATAGTAGATGACATATAGAGGCATAAGATGGGAAGTGACCCTATGGATAGTATATGGCAGAAACTACAGCAACTGAAGAATGTAACTAAGGGATTGAATAAGGAGATGGCAAGTTATGAGAAAAGATTGAATCAAATCAGACAACACCTAGAGTATGTGCAAAGTAATCTGAAAATCAGTCCTTTAAACCAAGAAATGATAGAGAAGGAAAAACTTATACTACAGGAACTAAAGAAGTGGAGTACAATAGAAGAAAGAATTTTGAGGCAGAAGTCAAGAGTTAACTGGATAGATTATGGAGATTCAAACTCCAAATATTTCTATGCAAGCTGAAGATGAGAAGAAGCAGGAATTCAATAACTTTTGTATATAATGCAGGGGGAGTTAGAGTTACAGAACCTAAAGAAGTAGAAAGAGAATTTATCACTTTTTTAAGCAGCTCATGGGTACTGATACTGGGATCAAACCATGTCTTAATACTAAAATTATCAAAGCAGGTGTATGCTTATCAATGCAGCAGCAACAAGAGTTAATTCAGGAAGTCACTTATGAAGAAGTTGATGAAGCACTGAAAGACATGCCAAATGACAAAGCCCCCGAAGTTGATGGTTTTCCAGTAGAATTTTTTAAAATGCACTAGAATGAAGTGAGACAAGAGGTCTATGAAGATGTGGTGTTCTTTTTCTAGACAAGTAAGATGAAGCAAGCATGGAATTGCACAGCTATAACATTGATTCCCAAAGGACCAGCCCCCACAACTATGAAAGACTATAGACCTATTGCTTGTTGCACTATAGTCTACAAAGTTATTATAAAAATACTGGCTAAAAGGATTAAGAAGGTAATTGAGTGTATAATTGGGAAAGCATAGTCTGCATTCATAGAAGGGAGGAGCATTGTGGATAATGTTCTGTTTAGCCATGAGTTGTTTAATGGTTATAACAGGAAAGGCTTATCACCAAGATGTATTCTCAAGGTTGATTTAAATAAGGCATATGATTCACTGGATTGGGAATTCTTAAGATATATGCTCACAGATCTTGGATTTCCACGGAAATTTATTGGATGGATCATGGAGTATGTGACAACAGTTTACTCTTTAGCACTTAATGGAGGACTCACTAGACCTTTCCCTACTAAGAGAGGTATTAGACAAGGAGATCCAATGTCTCCTTATCTATTTGTGATTGCTATGGAGTATTTACAGAGGGAGATGAGTACATTAACTATGTAGAAGGAATTCAAATTCCATCCAAAATGCAAAAAGCTGGGAGTGACACACATTTGTTTTGCTGGCGATTTGTTAATGTTTTGCAGGGGTGACAAACAATCAGTTAATGCATTGCAGGACACTTTCAATAAGTTCTCAAATGCATCAGGATTGCAAGCAAGTACATAAAAGAGCTCAATCTATATTGCTGGTGTACCACAGCATATCAAATAAGAACTGATCAATCTTACTGGATATGCAAAGGGTAGTATGCCTTTTAAATATTTGGGAGTTACACTATTTGCGAGGAAGCTGAATATTCATCAATGTCTGCCTTTAGTTGAGAAGATCACAGAGAGAGTCAGATGCTGGTCAACAAGGATGCTCTCATATTCAGGAAGAGTTCAGCTTATCAAATCAGTACTATTTGGTGTACAAACATATTGGGCTCAAATTTCCTTAATTCCAAAGAAGATCATGAAGATGATAGAGACTATATGCAGGACTTTCCTGTGGACTGGTTCAAATGAGTTCTCCAGGAAAGCATTGATTGCATGAGACAGAATATGCCAACCTAAAGCAACAGGTGGTTTGAACATGATAAATATAAAGATATGGAACAAAGCAGCAGTGTTAAAACATTTGTGGGCTCTGGATATGAAGAAAGATGCCTTGTGGATTAGATGGGATCATACCTACTACATAAAGAACAGATATATTGAAGATATACACACACCCAAAGCAGCAGCATGGGTGGTGAGGAAGATTATAGAGGCAAAAGATGAAGTTATGAAGATGAGGACAGATCAACATAGTATTACAACCATTCTGGAGAGCCTTGTGAAGCAAGATAAATTCTAGATACACAAGGTGTATGTCCAGATGCAACCTCAATTCATTAAAGTTGAAATGAAGAGTATCCACATGCACTCACAGATGCACCCTAGATTCAAGTTTCTTCTATTGTCGGCTATTAACCAAAGGATAGCAACTATGGATAGGCTTGCTAAATTTGGTATTCAAGTGCAAGTGGATTGTATTTTCTGTGGAAAAGCTAAGGAAACATTTGATCACCTCTATTTTGATTGTCATAGTACCAAAAAACTGTGGGAAAGGATATTGAAATGGCTGGAGCATACAAGACTGATAGGGGACTGGTACCATAAGCTGATATGGATTAGTAGCATGGCAAAGAAGAAAGAGTGTAAGGCAGAAATGATCACGGCAGCCTTTACAATGGTTGTGTACTGCATATGGCGTGAAAGAAATTCGATGAGATTCAACAATGGGGGATATAATATTGACGAAGTCTGTAAGGAAATTGCAATGCATATACACATACAAGGAAGGAGAAAATCAAATGGAGGCCAGGATTAGACTTTGTAAATAAATTGCATTAGTATAGAATTTTGTTAGTATTACATACATAGTATAGTTATACTTTGTAATAGAAATTAGAGATGAATGGCCGGCATTACTCTAGGTATGCAATGTCAGCTTTTGATGAAATAAAAGCAAATTTTTGCCAAAAAAAAAAAGATAGATCCACCTAAGCTAAACAACCTCCGTAGTTTTGGCAAAATTCTAAGATGATGAGATCAATTTTCTGGCTCATCCTTAATGTGAAAGAGTATGTGTAAATGTACATGAACCCTAGTTTACTGAAAGTGACCGCTTCCACTTAATTAGGGGATAAAACTTCATTGTTACTCCAGCCACAATCTTCTTTCACAGCGGGTATACTAGCAGGACAAATGGAAGAAACTGACAGGTCTGTCTGCCATTTTCAGGGTTAGGTGGTTCCTGTTGAACATAGAGGTCCGTCTCTCAATTTAGTTGAGAAGGGATGATTGTAGTAATAGAAACAGGGTCGACATCGGATTCCTTGGATTTATTCTTCTTAGATAGGCCACCACCGAGGTAAGTGTCTGAGTAACCGGAGGGAGAGATAATAGAAGACATGGTGATGAAAAATGCGAATATAAAATTTTTACTGAGAAAGGGAGAGTTTCAGAAAAGCTATAAGGAAATTTAAAGAAGAAGGGCTTATAAAAGTGAAAGTTAAAAATGATAAGAAGGGGAGAAGTTTATAGGCGGTATAATGCAAGGACATCATTACCTATGTAACTGGCGAAAGTATTTGTCGAATCATAGGATAACACGTGTTCGGCTCATTAAAAGCAAGGAGACATGCGTCCTTTCAAGTGTTAGGAAATCATTCAGAAACTTTTCCGCCAAGAAAAGGAGTCTTATCTACTTTCCGATAATATAAAGTTTAGTCACCGGGAAGCAGGAGGACAATCTGTATAGGGTAAGATTTATATATGACAGGTGGATACTCGTCGAGTTGACACGTGGCACTAAATACATGTAGGATATGAGTCAGTAAATAGTTGGCACCAATTATGAATATGTGACTGGTGTTGTGTGAGTTCCAAAGACGCTGGAACCGGGGATAAAAGTTTGAAAGGAAGATATAGGTCGAAGAAGGCAGCATTCAAGGAGCGGCCGTTACAAAGAATCTTTGCATTTATACTCTATCATTATGCAGCCATCAAAAGGGGTCTATATTCATATTTGAGGATCTTGATTTGGGGATCTTGTCTCCATAAATTTAGCTATAAATAAAAGAATAAGTACTCATTGTAGACACAAAATATCTGTACACAAAAAGGCTAAACTTGCTCTTACTCTATTAACATTCTTTATGTTCTATACTCTGTTCTTGTTCTTGCTTCTAGAGAAGCTCACTTCAGAGTCAGACTTGTATTTTCTTCAAGTTTTTTTAATTAATTTATTTCTGCTCTTTGTTATTTTATATTCTTGGATCAAATTAATTCACGTGTCTATAAATCACGTTATAAATTTAATTATACAGTTTTATGGGTAAACTTGGGTTATCGAATAATAACAAAGGTGATCCACTTTTTACTAATATTTTATATTTTTGTATATGAAATTACTCATTTTATATTACAATAGTTAAAATAGACAAGAAATATTGTTTTGTATTATATGTTTTTCTTTCATAATTTTAAATTATTTATTATTTGTATTCAAAATGTTGAGAAGAAATCAGTTATAACTCAGAAACTATCAGTGATTGAAAAAAGATAATTTATGAAAATCTTTTACTTTTTTTGAATAATGATATATTAAGTTAAATATAAGTGGGTTACTCGATTAAAAAAAAAAAAAACTAATTGTGGGTCCTAATATTCAAATTTTCAATGTTATTTCTAGTATATAGTCCTTGTTAATTATTTGAGATTTACATTTTTTGGGAACATATCTTGCATGGATGTTTTCCATCCATTCGGTTTTTTAACCATTTGAAAAAAATAATTCTTATTAAATAGAAATCTAGTTAGAATTAAATATTTAAAATTTGGTATGGGCTAACATTAAGAGTTTGAATAAACCAAAAATATTACTTTTCCCACATTCATCACATAAGTAAAATCATTTTCCAGTTGACACAAATCTTAAAGTATATAAATTGTTTTCATATGAAATGTTTCCTTATGAACCTTCGAGTAAGTGGCTATCAATTTAAGATCTTAATTTCTTTAGCAAAGGGATCTTACTTAATTTAAAATACCTAAATTTTAGGAATTTTTTATACAATTCAAATAAGAAAAGATTTTAGTAATAAGAATTTAGTTATTTTAAAGTCTTAATATTACAAAAATATTTAATTAACTATTTGTTCTATTGTGAACTTTATTTTAAAAGGTAAGAAAAGGCGAACGGCATCTTACTAAAGTGCTTCATGCTTTTAATATAACTAGTCTTTGTGTACGTGCATTGTACGTGTACCTTGCGTCAATCAACAAAAATGTATAAAAAACTCAAATAAATTATCTTCTAAAATAGGCAACTATATTTCATATATAATACCATGAAAGGAATTACAATAATGTTATATAGTTGAAATAAGAGAATTATATTAGATAATAAAATATAAATTGGTTTTAAAGTCCAATATAAAGATTTAGCAAATAATTCGGGTGTTCAAGAAAGGGATAACTTCAAGCTTCAAGTATAAAATTTGCACTCCTTATCGTTGACAAAGTTTGCTTAGTATATATGTCTGCGAATCATAGTTGATATTTTTACTAACTTCCACACGAACTAAACTTGGAAAAATAATTCTATTACTCCTTTTGTTGTTAATATTCTTACAACTTAGGAATGTAACCAATTCTAAAATCCTATATATTAGAAATTTAATTGAATATAATTTTGTCCAATATAAACTCTATATTTAAAGAGTAAAAAAACAAACGATACGTTCCAACCTAATGAATATACATTTTTTGATCGGACGCAAATGAATATAATTAGTTTACATAGTAATATAGCCTATCTCTAACAACACTCCCATCCTAAAGAATTATAAATATTGAACATATTTATCAAATAAATAACTATCTATACAAAAATATAAAAAGGGAGAATTGCACCTACCTTTGAAAGAAAACTCTACGATTAACTACGCCTAGATACTTACGAATCAAAAGAATGATTAAAAAAAGAAAAGAAATTGAGAAAACTGCTATCTGAAATATCAAGCTTAGGAGGAATTAAGATTTGACGATATAATAACACAAAAATACTTTTGTGGACTCCTGGAAGAACCTGAGCTAGAAGGGCTCTCGGACATGCAAAACTCATACGCTCCTTTTTTTTTTTTTTTTTTTTTTTTTTTTTTTTTTTCTTTCTGGTAAATTAGTTCGTCTAAAGTTTATCTATTGATGAATATATATATTTGTGTTATTGGCGTAGGTGTAGAATCATGGGAAACGAGCAGTTAGCATATACTTTTTGGAGATTGTGTTTTCATTTATGTAACATTAATTTGATAANGTTGTTAAGGATTCCAAATTATAAATATTTGACTTTTTCGTGCAACAATAAACTTTCTTGGGCGATTATGCTTAGGGCATTTGGAAAGCTAGTTTTTAGTTTCGTGAGATTAAATGATCTTATCTATTAGATTTCCTACATAGTTTACGTAGATTTAATAATTAAAATTTAGTTGGTTTAAAACTCCTAAATATTAGGAAAATAGTTAAATGACTATTTTATTCAATATAAAATTTATTTTAGAGGGTAAAAAGTCAAACGATATATCGGTAAGGGCATTCGTACTTTTAAATAAATATAAATATAGATATAGACTAGTTTCTATAAGCGTGTGTTGCACGTTATTCCCTTTCACTCTCATTCGTCGCAAAAAAAATATTAGCACGTAATATGTTTGTAATTACGTTACATTTGTTATATGAGGTAAGATATATTTGCTTGTACAATGAAATTGGGCCATCAACGTTTCTTTTAGCTGGTCAATGTTATCATTCGTGCCAGCAGCTGAGCTAGCTTTTCATGTCACATATTTTGCACAACTTGCATTTTCATTCAATGCTGGAAAAGATTTTTTGATTACCCAATCTTCATCACTACTATCATCATAGAACTCGGTAACCAATTAATCGAGTCATCTCTTACTGTATGCTTTACTTCGTTTCCAACAAGAAGAGATAATCACAAATATTATACTCCCTCCGTTCTAATTTATGTGAACATGTTTGACTGGACACATAGTTTAAGAAAAAAATGAAGACTTTTGGAATTTATGGTCCTAAACAAGTCCAAATGGGGCCTAGAGTATTTGTGTGGTTATAAAAGCTTCTCATTAAGGGTAGAGTTGTAACTTTAAGCTAAATTGTTACCAAATTTAGAAAGGGTTCATTCTTTTTGGAACGGACCAAAAAGGAAATAGGTTCACATAAACTGGAACAGAGGGAGTATTTATTTTGATTCTCATATTTTTTGTAAGGCGAATCTTTTTATTTGATGCAATAAGCATGATCTTATTAAGTGTCACGGCCCAATTTTCACTATAGCCCGTGATGACGCTCATAGTCACCGCTAGGCAAGCCAATTGTGAACTATCAATTTAATTATTTATTTTTTATAAGTCATTGATTTTATTTATTTAATAAGGAAACGATTAGTAGGTGACCGTAATAATGTAAAACATGAAATAAACGAAAAAGTGAAATAGTGAATTTAATAATCAAAAATCATGAAGTATCTACTAGAATTTCCCAAAATTTGGTGTCACAAGTGCACGAGCAAACTAGTAGAAAATACAAAACCTTCTATACTACTGTCTGGAGTAAGATAGACAAAAAAATAAATACAACAAGGAAAAGACTCTAGGTGCTGCAGAATGGAGCATAGGGAGCAGCTCACCATTAAGTCTCCGGATAGCGGGGGTACGCATCTGGCTGACCACCAGATGCACTTGCCTCAGATACTGCACGATTAGTGCAGAAGTGTAGCGTGAGTACATAAACAATATGTATCCA